GCGTGGATTTTGTGGCCGGGGCGACGATGCTTCCCTGGATTTCATTGCCCCTCCTTCTTCTTCTTCTTCTTCTTCTATTTCTTCTTCTTCTCTCAACGCATCCTTCACCCCGCCCCCCCCCCTGGGGCCGCGCGCGTGCCTCGGGCCATGGTTTGCGACCCTCCTTCTTGGATCCAACGCCCCCCCCTCCTCTTGGACGCCCATTCGGAGGGTCTCGGAGGGCGCACCTGACGACCAGCAAGCACAAGCTGCTGTCGCCTCCGGGGGCACCTTCGGATGGCACCTCTGGAGGGCGTTCGGACGGCCTTCGGAGGGCCTCGGAGGTCGCACGCGCTATCGGTCTTGGGCTTTCCCACGCTTTCCCTCGACCTTTCTGCCTTGCCTGCTGCTGGCCGGCTTGTCTCGTTGGGTGGCACTGCCGCGATCTCACACGATCTCGTTGACGCGATGGCCAGTCATCACAGAGCAGTTGCCAAGCTTTCTGTGTTCGGCTTCTGTTGGGGGTTCGAAGGTAGGGCCCTGAGGTGTAGGGCCCTCAGGGATGGGGCCCTGAGGGTAGGGACATATTCTATGGTATAGGGGCCCTAAGGATAGGATAGGCATGGGGCCCTTAAGGGTGGGGCCCTTAAGGATGGGGCTCTTTCGGATAGGGCCCTTAGGGATAGGGATGGGGCCCTAAGGATAGGGATAGGAAGGGCTTCCAGGTTGAATTTGTATTGTTCAAGGCATTCTCACCTTAGGTCCGAGGGCCACATCATTACTACTGGGCCCCAGGAACACCAAAAGACGGTTCGGAATAAGATGCCAGTCCCAGGGACAAGGGTCGAGACCTTTGGGTTGGGGTTCCACGCGGTGGGCAAATCACGGCGTCGGGGGAATGGGAGGAGGAATTGGAGGCAGGGGGGGAGCCAGAGGAGGAGAAGGAGGAGGAGGAGGAAGACCAGAGCAAGCAATTGAACTCCACCCGCTTTCCGGCCGTGAAGCTGTCGCAAACTTGTATAGGCGAATATGCGCGGTGCCAGGGCGAGAAGCGAGGTTCACATATTGAAAACCGCCCGCCCTCCATCCGTGAAGCTGTGGTAGAATTTGCGCTTCAGGATCATGGGTTGTGAGGAAGTCTCAGGCACAACGCCCGGCCCGCCCTACCGACAATTCTCGGGGCGCGTCAGGGAGGAGCTATTTAAAAGAAGGGGATGGGGGAGGAGGAGGAGGAGCAGGAGGAGGAGGAGGAGAAGGTGGAGGAGGGCCAGTGTGAACCCAAGACGCACCAACATCTTTGCAGTAAGTCCTCCCTCCACGTTCCCTCTTCAAAGGGCCCCACAATAATTTATTTTCACTGCGGGGGATGTCCAATTGGAATACGACCGTCTGTGAATCCTCAATCGTGCCAAAACACTATTCTTATGACTTCAGTGTCGCATCTCAACGTGTCTGTTGCGTCTTGGCGGTCTGAAATCTTGCCAGAACATTCATCCCTGGACTCCAGCAGCGCGAGTCAGCGTGACTCTTGCGCTCTGACACTCCTTGCAAAATTGGTCCAGAACAACATTCCTGTACGACCATGCGAATCCTTGAAATTGTTGGGGACTTTCAAATCGATTGTACGCGGCGCTAAGGCGAGAGCCACATTGTGAAAACCGCTCTCCTTCCATCCTTGAAACTGTTGCACACTTTTCAGACGAATCTGCGCGGCGCTAATGCTAGAGCCGCATTTCGAAAAGGAACCGCTCTCCATGTTTGAAACGGTTGCAATTGAAAAACGAGCGTGAAGCTGTTGCAGAATTTAAGCTTCAGGATCGCGGGCGGCGAGGAAGTATCAGGCGAAACGCCCGGCCCGCCCCACCAACACGTCTCGGTGTGCGACAGGGAGGTATCGTTTACGAGGAAAGGATTGGGGGGCAGGACGGGGAACACCCAGGAGGGCCTGGCCAGAGCTCGCAGGCGATCCCCCCCCCCCCCCCAAACCTTTCGACGACAAATCTGGCCGCTTAGAAAAGAAGGGCATACCCTGGGATACACCCCAAGGGGGCTATTCGGACGCACCCCCTATCGAGGATGGACGCCCCCCCCCCCCCCATCGCATATCCCAGGGTGGGGACCCCAGTGTTTGGTCCACTCGACAGCCCGGCGAATCCTGGGAGGGGGGGTCGACATCTCCCCCTGCCGGGGGAGCGCCGCGGCCGCCCCCCTCCCCTCCGCGCGCGCCCGCCGCGCCGAGGTCCTACCTGGACGCGCTGGCCTCTCGGCTGAAGCCGGGCGGCGCGGCCGGCCGCCTATAGGGGCGCGGGGCGGCGCGGCCAGGCTTCGGCGGCGCGCCCCAGGGCCAGGGCAGAGGGGGCCACATGCGAAGCCTACCCCTCCTCCTCCTCCTCCTCCTCCTCCTCCTCCTCCTCCTCCTCCTCCTCCTCCTCCTCCTCCCCTCCTCCTCCTCCTCCTCCTCCTCCCCTCCTCCTCCTCCTCCCTCCTCCTCCCCTCCTCCTCCTCCCCCCCCCCCGATTTCTCGGCCCGGACGAAAGGGGGGGATTGGGAAAGGGGGGGGGTACGAGGTCTGCTGCATGCAGCTGGCTCCGGCCCCACCGAGGGGCCCATTCCTCGATGCATGGGCGCCTCCCGGCGCCGGGAGGCGCCGGGAAGGTTACCCCGGATATTTCGGGCGTCCAGAGCCCCGAATCATCAGGGGTAACTCGGGTCAGGGTTAACTCGGGTTCGCTTTTTCGGGAGTCCGAACCCGAGTTACCCCGGACCCGAGTTTCCCCGGATAACTCGGGCGCCCAAAAAGGGGGGGATTGGGAAAGGGGGGGGTACGAAATCTGCTGCATGCAGCTGGTTTCGGCCCCACCGAGGGGCCCATTCCTCGATACATGGGCGCCTCCCGGCGCCGGGAAAATCAGCTACGTGAGCTGATTCTCAACCCCCCCCTTGGCTATCCCCCCCTGTCGCCCGACCCGAATTTCTGAGGGGGAAGATGGGGTTCATGCCGTTCGGGAGCTCTCGAGCGAAGGGAGCCCCACGCTCCCCCTCGGAAGTGGTGCGAAGCCTACCCCTCCCCCCCGATTTCTGAGGGGGAAGATGGGGTTCATGCCGTTCGGGGAGCTCTCGAGCGAAGGGAGCCCCACGCTCCCCCTCAGAAGTGGTGGGGGGGTAGGGGTAGGGGTTTCGCACGTGGCCCCCCGGAGGGCAGAGGGGCCACGGAGGAAGGCGGGGCCGCCTGCGCCGGCACTGGCGCGCAAGCTGCCCGCGCAAGGTCGCGCTCTCGTCTCCAGTGCAGCGTGCCGCGCTGGCGGCTCGCGCAAGCTGCGGCGTCGGGCTGCGATGCCGTTTCGCGAAGGACCCGCTTCTGACCGCCGCTCAGACGAGGCGGGCCTTCGCAGGAGGCTCAGAAGGCCTCTGGCCCTCCGAGGAGCTTGCCGAGCCGTCCCCGAGGACATTTTTCGCACTCTGAGAGGGCCAGGGTGCCCCTGAGAAGGCCTGCCGCCATTGAGGAGTCTCGCCCTCTCGCTTCCCCTCGCGGCGCGCCGCCGAAGGCTGGCGGTGGTCGGCTGGGAGACTTCTGCTCTGACGCTTCAGTACTCTTGCGTGGCCCAGCTCAGCGCCGTGGACCGTGCATGAAGACCGCGCGTCTAAAACGGCAGCCTTTAGGGGCAACGTCAGCGGGGAGACAGGCCCAGGGGCGGGTGCATCAGTCCCCATTCGCCCTTTGATCGCCGATGGGGTCCTGATAGCTCACCCCCGCCAGTGAGCGTACTCGGATTCGCTGTCGGGGGCCTATCGCCGATCTGTCGGCGATGTACCGCCGGATTCTTCCCCCCCCCCCTGAGCCGCGATCGCAGCGCACCCCCACCCCGACGTGCCCCACCCCGCCCAAGCGTTACCGTCACCCGGGGGCCCCAACCCCCCCCTCTCCACGCACCCAAGGGATCACGAGTTTGACTTGGACAAGCTGGACCAACTAGCCCACGCTTCCTGGAGCCGCGTGCAAAAACCAGGACTCGGAGGGCAGAGGCATGAGCCAGTCGGATCCCACGGCGCGCGCTGGGCGTCCGCGCGCCGGTCGGCGGCTCCCCGCCCTCTCGGGCGGGGGCTCGGCACGCTCGGTGCGGTCGTGTAGGCGGTTCCGTCGATCCGGACGGGCACGGTGTGAACACGTGCACTTACGCATGTATACGCGTACGTTTGCGCCTGTCGTTTTTCATTTTGCCCCCCCCCCGCGCCACCCCCAGTTTCTCGCCCTACCCCTCGCGGACCCCCGCGAGTGACCTGGGTGGATCCCAGTGCCCACGCCAGCTGATCTGGGCCGGCAGCGCGCGTCTCTTCTCCCGACTTTCTCCGCCGCGCTGCTGCGCGCGTGGCCGCGACGCCACGCGTGTGTGTGTGTGTGTGTGTGTGTGTGTGTGTGTTGGTGCTTGTGTCTGCACGCATGTACACACACTCAGACAAAGAGAAAGAGAGAGAGAGAGAGAGACTGAGAGACAGAGAGAGAGAGACAGAGAGGCTGAGAGAGAGAGAGAGAGAGCTTTGGACCCGTGCCTGCCCTGCCTGTGCCCCTGCCCTGCCTGGCACCCAGCCCCGTCCCTTCTGCCGAGTGCCTCGAGCACTCGTGTTGGCATCCACGGTGCAGCGAAACAGGGACCACTCCGGGATCGGGAGGGGCTCTAATTGCGGGGGTCCCCAAACGGGGCGGTGACCACACCGTGCGGTGAGTCGGCGGGGATTCGGGGTCAGGTCACCGCACGGTTTTGGGACTCGGGTCGTTCTCCGAGGATGTCTCGGGCGATGGGGGCCTCCAGGGTCGCAAAACCGTGCGGTGACGGACCGTGCGGCGAGGTCTTGCCGGATTTCGAGGTCACCGCACGGTCTGTCACCGCACCGTCTCGGGACTCCAAACTGATTCTCTCGCCTCTCCTGAAATCTGGGTCGGTGAACCCGCTCGTCGCCGATGCCCGCCCCGACCAGAAAAGCCCCCTTGGCTCTTCACTCGGCGCTCCCCGTGGGGCAGCGCGATGGGGCCGCCTCGTGGACCACTGCGTGCTGCTTGTCGGGGCGCCCGTCGCGGGAGGCCCGCCCCCCCCCCCCCCCGCGCCCTCCCCTCCCAGACCGAGGCCAGCAGCACCCCGAGGGCCCACCGCGACTCCAGGTCGCCGAGCACGGCCGGGCTCAAGAGCGTGGTGTCGGACCGGCTCGGGAAGCTGGGCGGCTTCGAGAGGCGCCTCGGCCCCCCCCTCCTCGCCTGCAGCTCCCCACGTCCGTCGGGGGAGGAGCCCTCGACGGCGCGACGCTGTTCGCGCCTCGCGGCTCCGATGCCTCCTCGTCCACGGCGTGCCTCCACCGCTGCTCGTCCCGGAGAGCCGCCGTTTGTCACGGCCGGGCTCTCCTTAGGAATCCTGGTCAGGGTGCACCCTTGGAGAGGTCTGTGGAGCAGCGGCATCGGCACCTGCTTGTTCCACCAGTCTGGGCGCGCTGCGGCCAGATCTGAGGCCCTGCTCAGGCCAGAGAAGATGGCGGAGCGCCTGGCTGCCCCCCCCTGCTGCGGCTCTTCCCTCCCCTCTCCTCCGACGTCGCGTTTTTTCGTCGGGCGTGCCCCCCAGGGATCTCGACCGTTCCCTTGGGCGTGGGAGCTTGACCCGCTCCGACTGGCAGGGCTGCGGGGTGGGCGTCGACACCGCCCCAGGGGGTTCACTGAGAATTGCCAGGGGGGGCGGTCAGGGAGGTCACTGAGTCTTAGGGGGTAACTGACAACGGTTCTGCCTGCATCCTCGGGCCTATCTCCTCTTTCGAACCTTTGATGGCCTTCTCATCGCGATCATCTTCGCCATCAGTCAGCGGGGTGCCAATTGGGTGCCAGTGGAGTGTCAATCCGCTGTTGCTCGAGTGCCAGCGGAGGTGTCAGTGGAGTGTCAATCAATTGTTAATGGAATGTCAGCGGGGATCAGTTGAGCGTCCGCGGGGAGCCTGTCTTGGGGGCCCGCCCTGGGGTACGGACCATACGCTCAAGCACGTGAGCCGCTCTACATATGGTCGCAATTCTTGCGCCCCGCGACGTGTTGTGACTCCTGTGGTCCACGCCCCTGGCTGGGCGCCCGACTAACAACCGAATGCCGCTGACACCCGACTGACACCCCGCTGACGCCCGACCGGCACCCGACCGACAGCCGAAAGACACCCGATTGGCAGTCCGACCGTCGGCTGCCCGTCGGCCGACCGACAGCCGACTCACGCGGGCCCGCTCCCTTGCGTTGCCGGGGAGCCCCCCTGGCCGACGTCAGCGCCCCCACCCTCTGGCGTTGTCCGGTGCGGCCCCGGGCCGCACGCAGCCGGCCCTCTGGCCGTGGTCACGGGGTTCGGGCCGTTGTCAGCTTGGACGCCCCCCGGGCGTTGTCGGTGGGCCCCTCCTGGCGTGGTCGATGGGCCCCGCTGGCTGTTGTCCGTGGGGCCACCTGGCCGTTGTCCGTGGAGGCCCGTCTTCTTCAGTTTGGGTCTTGCTGCGGTCGCTGTGGCCCCCCCCCCTCCCCGCAGAACGCGCTCTGTGCTGCTGCGAGCCCTTCCCCTGGCTGAGGTTTGCACCCCGAGCCGCGCTTCGAAGGCCCCGGGGCCCTCCGCGGGCCCCAGAGGCCGAACACGTTGACCAGAGTCATGCCGCCGTGGCTCTCTCACGGCGCAACGAGGCCCGGGCCAGCTGCTGCTCCTCGTGCTCCTAATCCAGAAGCCCGAACCAAGAAATTCAGGAATGTAGGGTTAAAAGGGGGGGCCCCCCTCCCTTTTTTTGAACGCACAAAGGTTTTTTCTACGACGAGGTGGACGGAGCCTTGACACATAGGCTTTTGAGCCCTGGCACATAGGTTTTTACGCAGTCTCGGTTGGCATTTCAACCGCAATGGCGCAGAAATATCCACCGCAGTGGCGGGGATCTCAACCGCAGTGGCGCTCGTTGGCTCACTCTCCAGTAGGCTCTGCGACCCCCGCAGTCAAGACGTTTGTGCAAGTACCGCTTTGGGCTCAGGACGGGCTCTGGTTCGTCTGGCCGTGTCTAAGGTCTAGGTCGGGGAAGCTACTCGTGGCCGGGGCTCGCCGCGGCCAGAGAAGCCCCTTGGTTCCTGGTCCAGCGTTCGCTGTGGTAGCACAGTGGCTGTGTATACACGTCGGTCGTTGAAAGTAGGTATTTGTGGATGCCCGGATCCCAACCTACTTCAGCCGCCTTTCTATTTCAAGAGTCGAGCGGTTTCCTTTCTTCCCTCCTCCTCAGGGGGTGGGCGGAAGCCCAATCTAGTTCCAACGCCTACTTCCTACTTCAACGCTTTCCTATTGCATGTTCTGGCTGGATCCGCGTCTCCAATCGGCGGCGTGCCCGGGGGGGGAACTGAGAAGGGGCCTTCTCAGAATGCTCGGAAGTTCCCCCAGCTTTGTGAGCATTTTTTCAACCCCGAAAATGCAAAAGATTTCTCAGAAGGCGCAAGGGCTTCTGCGAGGTCCCGCCGCCTTCTGAGAAGGCCTTCTCCCCCTCACTTCCCCCCCTCGCTCGCCGCCGGGCAGCTAGCGCGGGGGCTGAGACCAACCCCAGCTTCGCAGGGTTGCCCTCGTGCTCTTCGTTCCTGGACTGTCCGCCTTGGAATGCCCTTCGCTTCGGGGGCATCTCCATGGTCCTTCGGGGCCCTTGGCGAAGGAGCTTATGTTCTTGGCCGATATTCGTGCGGCCATGTTTCGACAGCATGTCTGTCCGCGCGGGCTGGCGGACAGACATGCAGTGGTGAGGATGGGGGGGAGTTCCGGAGGAGGCAGGAGGAGGAGGAGGAGGAGGAGGAGGAGGAGGAGGAGGAGGAGCAGGAGGAGGAAGAGGAGGAGGAGGAGGAGGAGGAGGAGGAGGAGGAGGAGGAGGGTGGAGGAGGAGGAGGAGGAGGAGGATGGGGAGAGGAGGAGGAGGAGGAGGAGGAAGAGGAGGGGGGGGGGGAAGGAGGAGCTCCTGCGACCTCCTGGCGGGCGCAGACATCCCACGTCGTGGCGTTTTCACAATGCGGCTTCCCAGAGGTCTGGACCTCTTCCCAGGGACCAGCTTTACATGCCGAGCCTTTTCTGTGGACGGTCCGGGGGCCAGGTAAGGGCCGCCAAGGGCCGAACGCTGTCGGAAACCTCCTGCGTCGCCTGTTTTCGTGACGCGAGGGTGCCAGGGGACAGACATGCACCTCCTCCTCCTCCTCCTCCTCCTCTCTCCTCCTCCTCCTCCTCCTCCTCCTCCTCCTCCTCCTCCACACAGGGGGACGAGTCCCTGCCCTCCTCCGCGCCCAGCGCGCGCCAGGCTGTGGGACGAGCTCGTCGCCCTCGTGAGGAGCCCCCCTGGCACCGAGGTGGTGCGGCTGGACGTGCGCTCGCCCACGGCCTTCAACGTCGTGCGGCGGAACGCGGACGGCAAGACGGTGCGCCCTGCGATCGCGCGTCGCGCCTGCTTTTGTTTGTTGGTTTGCAGTTGTTTTTTTGGTTTGGAGGGGGAGGGGGGGGGACGGGGGAGGGGGGGGAGGGAGGGTGATGATGCTGCTGCTGCTGATAGTAGTGGTAATAATCATGATGATGCTGCTGCTGATGCTGATGATGAGGATGAGGATGAGGATGAGGATGAGGATATGATGATGACGATGATGATGCTGTTCATGATGATGCTGATGATGCTGACGATGATGATGATTAGGATGATGATGATTGATGATGATGATGATGATGATGATGATGATGATGATGATGATGATGATGATGATGATGATGATGCTGATGATGATGATGATGATGATGATGATGGTGATGGTGATGGTGATGGTGATGGTGATGGTGATGGTGATGGTGATGATGATGATGATGCTGCTGATGATGATGATGCTGATGATGATGATGCCGATGATGATGATGGTGCTGGTGAGGGCGAGGATGTGGATGAGGAGGACGAGTGAGGAGGATGATGAGCATACAGGGATCTTATAATGCTTACGGTGATGATTATAGTGATTATGACTTCATGGCGATGATGGCAATGCTGGTGCGCATGGTCTTGTATTTACGGCCACATTTCTGTTTACGCTCGTGCCGAACGTGCTAAGGAGAGTTTTTGCAATCATTGCGCGGTTGAATATGTGAACAACCATGGCGACAATGGTGATGGTGGTTGTGGCTACGATGATGACGATGTTGACGATGCAAACGACGGCATTGACGACGACAATGGTGATGATGCTGACGATGATGATGATGCTGATGATGCTGATGATCGCGACGATGTGGATGGTGCTGACGATGATATCGCTGCTGATCATGATTATGATAATCCTAATGATGACGACGAAGATGATGATGATGATGCTGATGCTGATGCGGATGATGCTCATGATGACGATGGATGATGCTGATGACGATGATGATGTTGATGATAATGATGATGCTGATGGTGATGATGATGCTGATGATGATGGTGATGCCGATGCTGATGATGATGACGATGCTGATGACGATGATGATGATGCTGAGGGCGATGATGATGATGCTGATGATGGTGCTGATGCTGATGATAATGATGATGATGATGATGATGATGATGATGATGATGATGATGATGCTGATATTGATGATGATGATGATTATGATGCTGATGCTGCTGATTATGACAGTTGTGGTGATGATGATGGGAACGTGCTGTTGATGATGGTGATGGTGGTGTTCATTGAATGATGATGGTGGATGAGGAAGCAGGAGAAAAGGATCGTGGAGGGATGGGAAGGACACAGTGACAGGAATGCCATGCAGGAATACTGATGTGGGAGAAGAAACGGGGAGGAGTGAATCGCGAGGGAGAGAGAGATGATGCGGATGAGGAAAGAGGCTGTCGATGACGGTCATGTCGATGAGGGTGATGTGGAGGATCTTTGGTACGGTTGTTGTTGCTGCTGCCGATGACGCCGACGGTAATGGCTGTGATGATGGTAATGGTGTTGATGATGATGATTATGATGATGAGTGTGGTGATGATGATCACGATGATTATGACGAGGCGGAGGAGGAGGGCGAGGAGTAGGAGGAGGAGGGCATGGACGAGGTGGAGGGAGACAGGCCGAGAAGGAAGATGTGGAGGAGGGACGGGATAAGGAACGTTGACAGCGGCGACGACGATCACTACGATGATGGTGGTGATGGTGATGATGATGATGATGATGATGATGATGGTGGTGGTGATGATAGTGATGATGGTGATGATGGCCATGATGATGGCCGCGACGACGACGATGATGCTGATGATGATGATGGTGTCATGATGATGCAATTGCTGATGATGATGCGGATGATGATGTGGCTGCTGATGATGATGCTGATGATGATGAGGACGCAGAAGAAGACTAATAATATGATGACGACAACGACGACGCTGGTGATGATACCACAACTCATCGGCGACAAACTGCAGAAGCGGCGTCGCTCAAGCGTCGGCCGAGGGAATGGAGGGGTTCGGATCTCCACGCGGAAGCCCAGCGACACCAAAAATGGCGGGCCATAACTCACGCGCCCACAGCTATGCGCGTGCATCGCTCTCCTGCCATGCTGTTGGAATCCACAGCAGCCACAGCACTGAGTCACGATTGCGCACGCGCCCAACAGCCAGGTGCGTGCAATGGGGCGCACCGAGCGCGGGCCGCGAGCGAACCTCAGCGCCCCCTCGATGCGCCGAGCTGCCGCTACGAGCGATCATCAGCAGAGGCAGCTCTGGGGATCAACCTCCGCTCCCGCCGCGAGTCGCGGCCCTCGGGCGCAGTCGCACTCATGCGCCACGCCAGCCGCCTGCCTCTCAGGGCCGTCCTCGTACCAGCGCTTGGCCCTGAGCTTGGCTGGCCAGCAGCGCTGGGAGGCGCTCGGCGCGGCTGGCGGCCCTGGCGCCACGCAGGCAGGCGATCTCCTTGGCGCACCGCGCCACCTGGGCCCGCAGCTCCTCGAGCTGGGAGCCCATCGTCTCGTCCACGTCGTGCTCGCGGAGGAGCCGCGCCTCCAGCTCGCGGGCGTCGGCCCGCGCGAGCTCCGTGGCGCGCCTGCCCGCCCGCCTCGGCCGCGATTGCGGACGGCTCCTCCCTCGCCTTGCGCAGCATAGTCAGGAGCCACTCGCGCGCCTCCGCCTCTGCGCCGTCACCGCCAGGGGACTGGCCTGCGCCCTCGTCGTGCTGGTGATGCCCGTCGTGCTTCCCGCTATCCGTGACGTCCTCGAGCTCCTGGCCAGCGCTCGTCACTGCGTCGAGGGCGCCCTGCCGCTGGGAGCCGTGGGAGGCCTCGTCCAAAGCCGCGCCCTCCATCTAGTGCTCCGCGTCCGCGAAGGGGCTCCCGCCCTCCTCAAAGTCCAGGGCCAGATCGCACTTGAGCACGCAGCCCTGGCCCTCAGTCGCCTGCAACTTGATGCCCTCCGCATCGTCAACCCCGTTCCCGGCGCGGCCTTCGGTTCCTCTGGCCTGTCCTCGAGTCCCCGTGTCCACCAGGGGGGGCCTGAGGCCAGGGGCGGCAGCATCGCAGGCCCTGCCGGCCGCACCCTCTGCGCGAGGTCGAAGCGCCACCCTCGGGCGGACCGCCCCCGAGGGTAGACGACGCGCCAGTCTGCGCTGCTGGCGCGCGCACGCGCCCGAGGTGCGGCTTCGCTCCGGCACGGGCTGCCGCACCGGCGATCGTTGCCTCTGGCGAAGCACGGCGGCCGTGCCGCTCGACCTTCCGCTCGGAGCCCTTCGCCACCGAGGTCCAGTCGAGGCGCCTCACGGCCGTCTTCACGCCGGTCCCGAGCTGCTCGCATGCTTGCCGCAGTTGCCCTTGGAGTTGCCGTCGAGGGAGGCCGCCACCCGCGGCCGCACCGCAGCGCAGGAGAAGCCCCCCGAGCTCGACTCGCCCAACTGGTGGTTGTCCGTCGTGATAGGCCCCTCGCCCGCGACGACTTGCACGAGCCGCTGCTGCTTGGAGCCGCCTTCGGCCCCGGCCTCGTCGATGATTATGATGATGATGCTGATGATGATGATGATGATGATGATGATGGTAATGATGATGATGATGATGATGACGATGATGATGGTGGTGGTGGTGATGATGATGAGGATGAGGATGATGCTGATGTTCATGACGATGATGCTGATGCAGGTGATGATGATGACGATGATGATGATGACGATTGTGACGATGATGATGATGATGATGATGATGATGATGATGATGATGATGATGATGATGATAATTGTGATGATGATGACGACGCCTATGCTGAAGCTGATGCTGATGCTGACGCTGATTCTGATGCTGATGCTGATGCTGATGCTCCTGTTCATGCTGTTGAACTCTCACTACTGAAGAATACTTGTTGATGATCTCCCCCCTCCGGTAACATATGTGTTTTTCCAATCGAAGTGTCCTTTCCGGGGCTCGCACCTGGTTTTTTGTCAGGGAAAATCTTCCTCCTCAAACTACGTTGTTGGTCTCCGAGCGGCAAGCTTCCCAACCATTCCCAAATCTCGCTCTCGCGCGGGACGTTCTCACAATTTATTCAGGAGTCGCGCCCTCGCGTGGGACTTCACACTATGTATTCAGACGCCGCGCCCTCGACATTCAGGAGTCACGCTCTCGCAGTGGATTTCCTCACGATTTATCTAGGAATCGAGCTGTCGCTCGAGACTTCCTCGCGATTCATGCAGGACGCACGCTTCAGCAACTCGCCTGCTCGACCTGGCCGCCTGGGCCCTCCTTCCCGACCCGCCTGGTAGGGTCTACCCGCCCGATCTGCCCGTCTGGTTCTGCCACGTGTTTTCTGCTCCTAGCTCCCCTCCTCCTAGTCTCGCTCGTGCTCCATCCTCCTCCCTCCCCCTCGTCCCGTCCATCCGTCCTCTCTTCCCCTGTCTCAGGGGCTTCATGGAATACACGCTGCAGTTAAGAAAGACATACCCCCAAGGGGGTACGGTCGAAGACGAAGACTGCGGGAATCGTGGGTTCGGGATGTACGTGTTGAATGGCACGCGAGCAAATTAGAGCGAACAGTCTCAACATTGTTGTTGGTTTTATATTTGGGTTTGCTGTTGTTGGTGATGATGATGGGGATGACGGGGATGAGGATTAAACGGATTATGATCACACTGATCCTGATGCTGATGCTGATAACGATGATGATGCTGCTGATCTTCAGTCTGATGATACTGCTGGTGAGGATGAGGTGATGATGATGACGACGATGACGACGACGACGGCGATGCTGCTGATGATATCGATACTGGTGATGCTGATGATATCGATGATGATGATGATGATGATGATGATGATGATGATGATGATGATGATGATGATGATGATGATGATTTTGCTTATGATGCTGGTGCTGATGATGATGATGGCGGTGATGCTCCTACTGGTGGCGATGTTTATGCAGCGGATGATTATGATGATGATGATATTGTTGCTGATGATGATGCTACTGACGATGCTGATGCTGATGATGATGGTGGTGATGATATGATGATGATGCGGATGATGATGATGATGCTGCTGATGATGACGATGATGATGCCGATGCTGCAGATGCTGATGCAGGCGATGATAATGATGATGATCATGGACAATGTGGTGATTCTGGTGACGACCATGCTGACGATGCTGTTGAGGATGATGATGATGGTGATGATGGTGATGCTGACGGCTGATGATTCATGATGGCCGGTGATGATGATGATGCTTCTGCTGATGATGATGACCACGGTGATGATTCTGATGATGAGGATGATGATGAGTATGATGAGGATGAGGATGAGGATGACGAGAAGGATGAGGAGGATGATGAGGCTGATGATGATGATAACGATGACGATGACGATGATGATGATGATGATGATGATGATGATGATGATGATGATGATGATGATGGTATCGATGATGATGCTGATGCTGATGCTGTTGATGATGATGGGGATGATGAGGATATTGGGGAAGAGGATGCGGATGAGGTCCAGGATGAGGTTCCGGATGAGGAGGTTGTTGATGATGATGATGAGGATCATGATGGTGATGATAATGGTGATTGTGATGGTGATGGTGATGGCGATGGTGATGCTGATGATGATGGTGGTGATGATTATGATGATGTTGACCATAATGATGATGATACTGATGATGATGCTGATGCTGATGATGATGCTGATGCTGCTGATGATGTTGCTGATGACGATGACGATGACGATGATGATACTACTGGTACTGATGATGGTGATTCTGATGCTGATGCTGATGCTGCTGCCTATGATGATGATGATGATGATGATGATGATGATGATGATGATGATGAGGAGGAGGAGGAGGAGGAGGAGGAGGAGGAGGAGGAAGCGGGAAGAGTTTGACACAGCGGGTGTTCCCACCCTGCAGATTTCTTAAGAGTAACGGGAGGAGAAAGGGTGAAGCTTGAGGCAGATGGAGGCGCGCGCTGAGAAGTCCGTTGATATGGTGCCTCCTCCTGCCTTTCCACGTGGTGCTCCTCCTGCTGCTCCTGTTGCTCCTCTTCCTCCTCCTTGTCCTCCTTCTCCTCCTCTGCCTTGTCCCCCTCCTCCTCCTCCTCCTCCTCCTCCTCCTCCTCCTCCTCCTCCTCCTCCTCCTCCTCCTCCTCCTCCCCCTCTCCCTTCGTTTCTTCCTTCCTTGCGTTCATTGGTCCTCATGTCCTTCTGATCCTACCTCCTCCCTGTCCATCGTCCTTTTCGCTGTCGTCGTCGTCGTCGTCCTTCTTCTCCTCCTTGTCCTCCTCCTCCTCCTCCTCCTCCTCCTCCTCCCTTTGAGTATCATCTTCCGCCAACTCCTGCTGCTGCTCCCCCTCTCTGTCCGTTTGCTTACTCCCTGCCCCTTTCTTCTTCGTCTTCCTCTTCCTCCTCCTTCCTGCTCCCTGCTCCTTCCTTCTTCTTCTTCTTCTTCTTCTCCTTCTCCTGCTTCCTGCTCCTTTCTTCTTCTGCATATTCTTCTTCTTCTTCTTCTTCTTCTTTTTTCTCCTCCTCCCCCTTCCTCCTTCCTGCTCCCTGCTCCTGCCTTGTTATTCTTCTTCTCCTTCTCCTGCTCCCTGCTCTTCTTCTTCTTCTTCCTCCTCTTCTTCCTCCGCTTCTTCCTCCTCCTCCGTACCGCGGTGCCGCACCGTCCGTCCAGAGTCCAGAGCGGCTGGGTGGAGGCCAGGCCCCTCGGCGTGCACACGCCGCTTCCCCCTCCCCTCGCCCCTCCTCCGCCCCCCGTCTGCCTTCCCCCCTCTGCCGGGCGTCGTGGTCCTGCGTGCTTCCACCGCCCTGGCTTCGCGAAAGCGGCCGGGAGCGGGCACGTCTTCCCCTTTCAGCCCGGGTCAGGGGCCGCGGCTCGCAGGCCTGGAGCTGTAGTCGTTCCAGGCGCTGCTCCAGCAGCTACAGCCGGAGCCGTCTGTAGTCGTGCCAGGCGCTGCTCTGGCAGCTACAGCAGGAGCCGTCAGCAGATCCTCCTCCCCAGGAGCCTCCAGATGTCGTTCCCTGAAGCCCACGGCGGGCTCGTCTGCTCTAGGCCTCCCGCGTGGGGTCCGAGTGGTTGTGGTCGGAGGATGGCGCCGCATCGCCGATGCATCGGTGATGCGGCTAGATAGTGAGCCCGATTTTCTCCACGCTGGCGTCGCCGATTCACCGCCGACGTCGCCGATGCATCGGCGATTCAACGCCAATGTGTTTGCGATGCGGCGCGATCTTCCGACCCCGTCCACTCGGACCCCATCTGGGAAGCCTCCATCTGCCCCGCTTCGGGGCCCCAGGACCCTCGAGGGGGAGGGCGAGGCGCCCCAGAGGTCCCTGGAGGCCTCAAGTTGAGCAAAGCACGTCAAGACACCCCGACCCTCGAGGGTGAGGTGGAGGAGCCCCCCGACGGTGGTACCCCTCACACGGTACCGCCCCCCGTCCAGAGCCCGCTCAAGACTGGTCCCTGGGGCCCCTCCCGGGGTCCCACTCTGACCAGCTTTCCAACCGAGCCGCGTCCAGCTGTGACGACGAGGACCCCTTGGAAGCGCAGGGGAGGAGAGAAGCCAATACGACGCCGTCGACGACGTCGTCGCCCTGGCCCGCACGGCTCCGCCCCCCGCGGCAGTCGATCATCAAATGCGAGATCGACAACGGCCGGCGACAGTGCTCGCTGGTGACGTGCGGGGAGTCTGGCAGGCGGCCCGGCACACCCTCGATGATGATGAGGATGATGGGGATGATGATGCAGATGAGGATGAAGATGATGATGTTGATGCTGATGCTGATTCTGATGGCGGTGCTGATGGCGATGCTGATGACGATGATGTTGATCATGATGATGATAATGATGAGGATGATGATGAGGATGGTGAGGATGATGATGTTGCTGATGATGATGAGGATGAATATGATGATGATAAGGATGGGGATGAGGACGAGGGTGGTGATGATGAGGATGATGCTGCTAATGATGATGCTGCTGCTGCTGATGCTGATGGTGATGCTGATGGCGGTGCTGATGGCAATGCTGATGACGATGATGTTGATCAGGATAATGATGATGATGAGGATGATGATGAGGATGGTGAGGATGATGATGGTGCTGCTGATAAGGATGAGGATGAAGATGATGATGAGAAGGACGGGTATGAGGACGAGGCTGATGATGATGAGGATGATAATGAAACTGATGGTGATGACAATGATCATGATGAATCTGATCAGGATGATGAGGATGTGGATGATGATGAGGATGATTGTGATGATGACGAGGATGGTCTGATGATCAGGTTGCTGCTGATGGCGATGATGATGATGATGCTGATGATGATGATGATGATCATTGATGACGAGGATAAAGAGGATGATGAGGGTGTGGAGGATGAGGAGGACGACGAGGATTACGATGATGATGACGATGCTGATGATGCTGATGATGATGATGATGAGGTTGATGATGATGGCGTTGCTGATGATGAGGATGATGAGGACGATGTGGATGATGGGGATTAGGAGGATGATGAGGAGGATGATGAGGACGGGGAGGAGGATGATGATGCTGATGATACTGGTGCTGATACAGATGGCGATGCTGCTGATGATGATGCTCAGGATTGAGGATGAGGAGAATGATGAGCATGATGACGAGGATGGTGATGATGATGATGATGATGATGATGATGATGAGGATGCTGATGAAGATGGTGCTGCTGTTGTTGATGATGATGATGATGATGAGGTTGATGGTGATGCTGATGGTGATGATGATGATGATGATGAGGGTGAAGCGGGTAGTGATGATGATGATCAGGATGATGGTGATGATGATGAAGATGAGGACGATGAGGCTGATGACGACGATGTCGAAGCTGCTGTCGATGTTGTTGATGATGATGATGATGATGATGATGATGAGGACGATGTTGATGATGATGCTGATGATGAGGATGATGCGGATAATGGGAATGATGCGGATCGGGAGGAGGATGGTGTGGATGAGGATGAGGAGGATGATGCGGATGCGGATGAGGATGATGATACTGACGACAATGCTCATGATGGTGGTGGTGTTGCTGATGGTGCTGCTGCTGCTGCTGATGATGATGATGATGATGATAAAGGGGAAGCTGATGATGATGCTGATGATTATGTTGATGATGATTGGGAGGAGGACGAGGAGGATGATGAAGATGCGGATGAGGATGAGGATGATGATGAGGATGACGATGCTACTGGTGATGATGATGATGATGATGATGATGATGATGATGGTGATGATGACGATTCTGGTGACGATGCTGATGATGATGATGAGGATGCTGATGGTGATGCTGATGACTGGTGTTGGTGATGATGGCGGTGATGCTGATGATGATCATGATGAAGAGGATCAGGTTGTTGTGGACGTGGATGATGATGAGGATTGTGACGATGAAGATGGTGCTGCTGATAGTGATGAAGCTGATGACGAGGATGAAACGGATAATGAGGATGTGGAGGATGAGGATGATGACGAAGATGTTGATGATGACGATGCTGATGTTCACGATGATAATGAGGATGGCGTTAATGATTGCGTTGATGATGATACTGATGATCATGGTGCTGATGCGGAGGAGGATATTGAGGATGAGGATGATGAGGATGATGAGGATGATGAGGATGATGGGGATGATGGGGATGAAGATAATGAGGAGAGCGATCAGGATGAGGATGCGAATGTTGGGACGTGGATGAGGATGAGTCTGCTGATGACGATCAACATTGATATGATGATAACGATGCTGCTGATGAGGGTGATGATGATGGTGATGATAATGACGGGGATGAGAACGATGAGGAGGATGATGAGGATGATCATGATGATGATGAGAATGAGCATAAGGATGATGAGGATGAGGATGATGAGGGCAATGATGATGATCATGATGACAGTGATGAAACTGATCACAAGGATGATGAGGGTGATGATGATGATGCTGATACTGCTGGTGATGATGATAATGATAGTATTGATCATGATGATGATACTGGCGATGCTGATGATGATGATGGTTCGGATGAGGATGATGATGAGGATGAATGGGATGATGATGCTGATGCTGATGATGCTGATGATGAAGATGAGGGGGATGACTGCGAGGGTGATCGTGAGCTTAAGGATGGGGATGATGATGATGCTGGTGATGGTATTGATGATGCTGGTGATGACGATGATGATGAAGTTAATCAGGATGATGCGGATGAGCAGGTTGATGATGATGATGATGCTGGGCAGAGTGATTAGGATGATCTGATGATTCTGCTGATGATGCTGATGATGATTATGGTGACGATACTGGTGATGATGTTGCTGATTATTATTGTTATTATGGTGATGGTTACGATGATGAGGAAGGATGCGGGTGATCATAACGATGGGTCGCGTGCCGGGTCACGGCTGAGACGAGACAACGAACAACAAACAACAAACAGCACACAACGAACAACACATACCGCAACACCATCACCAACAACAACAGCCGCCACAACATCAACAAGATCAATCCTACCGCGGGATCCCAGCTCAGCCACGCACTCAGGTACAGTGAATGACTGTTCTGCCCTCTCATTCTGATATGCACAGACACCTTCTAGTGGATTGTTTCGACACCTCATGGGAATGGTGGCGGTGTGTAATTCACACCGAGCAGCGATTTGATACATCGCCACCCTCCTTTGAAGGCACAGGCAGCACTCGTCGGCGGGTGTTTGTGTGCGTATGTGCGCGTACATTTTTTTATCCACTTACTTGTTTGTTTATTTGTTTATTTATTTTACGTATATATATATATATATATGTGTGTGTAGATGTGTGTACAATGTATATACATATATACGTATATATGTATATGTATATATATACATATATATATATGCACACTTTCGTGGCGCATGTGCTGCGTGGCGCAGCTCATTGCGTTGCGCCTCACTGCGTTGCACTGCGTTGCTCATGCGCACCCTCGGTAGGCAGTGCCGCCAGACGGGGTCGCGCCGGGCCTGTCTTCGGTGGTGGAGCACTTTTGAAGTGGAGTTTAAGCCTAAGGAGCAGGGCGGAAAGAACGAGGAGGATGGGGAGGAGAGGGAGGAGGAGGGGAGGAGTCGAAGGAGGAGGAGGAGGAGGAGGGAACAAGGCGAGAGGTGAGGGGGAGGAGGAGGAACAGGAGGGGCAGGATGGGGTAACCAGGAAGAAACATTTGGTTTGATCGGGTTGGCTGGTGCAGAGAGTGAGAGAGAGAGAGAGAGAAGCCAGGATATTCGAGAGGGACTACGTTGTCCTGCATCAGGACGCCAGCTGCCCCTCGCGCGCCCGCCCTCCTCTCATCATCATACTCGTCCTCCATCCATGCTCTCCAGCCCTCTCCTCCTCCTCCTCCTCCTTCTCCAAGTAGCTCATCCCTGGCGTGCCCCTAGACGTGTCGCTATGGCGGGCCGGGCGTTGCGCCTGAGATTTCCGCACCATTTGTGTTCCTGACGCTAGGGATTCCTAATCTATTCAAGGATGGAGGGCGGGTAGTTTTCAAAACGTGGCACTCGCCTTGGCGCCGCGCATATTTGTTTTAACAGCTTGCAGCAGTTTCAAGGACTGATGGCGGCCCGTTTTCAAAATTGCGCTCCTCGCCTGAACGCCGTGCATGTTCGTTTTACAAGTTTGCAGCACTTTCAAGGATGGAAGGTGGCCCGTTTCCAGCATGTAGCTCTCCACTTAGCGCGGCGCACGCCCGTTTTATGCAAGGTCGCAGCATTTTCAAGGATGGAGTATGATTTCCTTTCAAATGCGGTCCTCTGTTTAGCGGCGCGCACCTTCTTTGAAAGCGTCTGTAGCAGTTATAAATTTATAGGGGGCCACATGTGAACCCTACTCCTACCCCCCACGATTTCTGAGGGGGAGGGTGGGGTTCACTTCGTTCGGGAGCTCCCGAGCAAAGTGAACCCCACCCTCCCCCTCAAAAATCGTGGGGGGTAGGGGTAGGGTTCGCATGTGGCCCCCTAATTTAGTAGTCTGGTAGATATCCACGGAACGGTGTTCTGGCACGATGGGGTTTGGGAGGGCCCAACAGCCATCTTGATTCGCGGTGTTGAAGTCCCAGGAATGGTCAATTGGCGCGACTTAGGATTATCAGGACGCAACCGTAACACGTATTCTGGGCGCTGAACTCCCGGGAACGGTGTTTTGGCACGATCGAGGGTTCTCAGGCAGTAATCTTCCAATGGAGCACTTTCCGACATGACGATATTTTCTTGTATGGGGCCCGTGAAGAGGGAATTCCGAGGGAGGGTTGCCTGCAACATCTTTGGTGCGTCTTGGGTTTTCACTGGTCCTTTTCCTTCTCCCCCATTTTCCTTCTGCGGCTGCTTCTCCGCCGCGTCCTCCAGCTCCCCCTCCCCATCCAGGATCATCCACTTCCCACTCCCCCTCCACCTCCCCCTCCTCCCCGTCCGCCCTCCTTCCTTATCATTCCTTCTCCTCCCTCTCCCCCTCCCTCTCTCCTCTTTTTCACCCTCTTCCCTTGTCTCTCCTCCTTCTCCTCCTCCTCCTATATCCTCACCCTTTCTCCTCCCTCCTCCCCGTCCTCCCTCCTTCCTGCTAGCGAAGCTCTGGAGCAGGTGGCGGCGCGCACTTTGCAACATCGAGTGTCTTCGAAGCCCGCCCTGCC